TAGCAAATTTAATCCAAGAATCTATCCTGATTACTCCAAGATGGTACCACCCGATCACTCCTCCACTTCCTCTTTCTATGCCAGAAGTAAAATAGCTTCCCTTGACTCCTTAGGATGCTTCACTAACTACAGCCTATAGAAGAAAATAGGTTTCTGTGAGCATCTGCTGCTAGACGAGCAGAATGCAGACACAAAGGCTACCACAGTGCTGAACTTTCATGAAAATTAAGCAATCAGGGTACAAGGCAGAAATGAGGCAACAGTGAAATCCATGTGACAGAAAAAAAAACTTGGAGGTTCTCCCTCAGAGGGTATATTTTAAATAAATTCTACCCTGAGCAAAAACAGGGTTTATTTATCCTGTCAAACAATTGTCCCTAAAAACAATTCTCTATATACCCATGAGGAAATAGCTATTGCAAGGGCAAGATCCGGGTAGTCAAATGGGAGAGGGACAGAAGGAAAGGAGAGAGGGAGGACAGAGAGAGAGAGAGAAAGGAGAGGAAGAAAGAGAGGGGAAGAGAAAGGGAGACAAAGGGATGGAGGAGGGGGTAGGGGGGAGAGAGAGAGAGAGAGACAGAGACAGAGACAGAGAGAGAGAGAGAGAGAAGAGAGGGAGAGAGGAGAGAGAGAGAGGGACAGGGGAGGGAGAGAGAGAGGAGGAGAGACAGGGAGAGAAAGGGATGGAGGGAGAGGGAGGAAATAAGGGACAGAGAGAGAGAGGGAGAGAGGGGGGAGAGAGAGAGAGAGAAAGAAGAGAGAGGAGAAAGAGAAAGGAGAGGGAGAGAAGGATGGGGAGGGAGAGAGACAAGGAAAGAAAGGGATGGAGGGAGGGAGAGGGAGAAAGAGAGAGAGAGAGAGAGAGAGAGAGAGAGAGAGAGAGAGAGAGAGAGAGAGAGAGAGAGAGAGAGAGAGAGAGCTCCCCAGGGGGCAAAGCTGATTCCTGAGCACAGGTATCTTCTCTAGGGCAACGAGTGCTGTAGGAATGAAATCCTCCCTCTGACACACTGGGCCGGTTTCCCCCAAGCCTCTCCTGTCTCCCTGCACCTCTTAGGTTCTATCCTGAAGCTTTGATCTTTCTTTTTACACTGAGGAGGGTTGGAGGGTATAAGAGCAATACAAATAAATACTAAAATTTGCAAAGTATTTTGAATGATCACTGAGTCTCACCACAAAGTTGTGATGGATGTACTACAGGTATAGGCACTATCACCCCTGTTTTATAAACGGGAAAACAAGCTCAGAGAGGTAAGTGATTTGTCTGTGGTCATACAGCTACTGAATAGCAAAAGCAAGATTTGAACCCAGGCTTTCTGGAGTCCAAGTCCAGCACCATCCACTGTACCACGTGCCTTCCATGAAGAGATGTTTGCCCAGAGTCATATAGCAAGCTTATGGTCAATCTGAGATGAGAATTTGCAGCTCAAGGGCTCAAACCCTAGCCACGGATGCTCTGCCACACTGTCAACGAAGGAAGGCAGAGACAGAAACACACAGGACAAGCAACAGCGCTTTGGAATCTGGAAGGAGTGGATGGCTCTGGGGATCAAAGGGAGGAGAGGAGCTGGGGGGCAAGAGAGAAGACAAGGAAATGTCCATCCCTTATTACTAAAACATCTGGAAAATGAATCAACAGTCTCATTTGAGAGGCACAGAAGAGGGTTTACAGTCTATCTATAACAACAAAAGAGTCTAAACACTCCTACATAGCGTCTTTGGGGTAGATGTGTTGGAATCCCTGAACTCCCACTGAATGGTAGCCCCTTTTCTCTCATTTTTCAAGCTCTTCATTTCCCTTCTCCCCTCACACATGTGTATCCCCCCAGGGTTCGATGTGTGCTCCGCTCTCTCCCTTGATGCCACCCTCCTGACCCACCTCTTCAAACCTACGCAGGTAACGCCTCCAGCTCTTCCAGAGCTCCACTTTTGTATTTCCTGTCAATGTTCAACATTTCTACCTGGATCTTCTGGTAGCACCTCAAAGTCAAAACGTTCTAAGCTGAGGTTGTCATCACCTACCCAGAAGCTGTCACTCTCCTCACCTTTTCTGCTTCATTGCCCATCCTTCCAGTCTCATTACCTTAGCATCATCTTTGACCCCCTTGCTGCACATAACCTCTCAGTTGCCAGCATATTTATTCTACTTCCAAATTTTTTTATAGTTAGGCTCTCCTCTGCAACCACGATGGACCTCAACTCTTTTCTAGACACTGGAACAGCCTCCTAGTTGCTCTTTCTGCCTCCCACCTGCCTCGTGGGCTATTCAGATGTCAGTCTTCTATTCAGAACCTTGGAGTGGTTCTCCATCACCTACTGTATAAACTCAGTCCTGGAATTCAAGGCTCTGTACCCTACCTTTTCCAGCCTTATATCATACTTCTCCCCCCTTCATATTACCCATGTAAACTAGACTATCCTCCATTTCCCTCCTCCTCTGGTATCTCCCATCATGCTTTTGCTTACACTGTCTCTGACATCAAACTTATATATACTTGTTCTTTGACTGATATTTGGAAAAGATTCTCCCCACATCTGCCTATTGAAATCCCTTTCGTTCAAGGCCTGAGATGCCATCTCCTCCACAGAGCCTTCCTTGACCCTAGCTGAAAGGGATCTCTCCCTCCTCAAATTTCTTTGTGTTTGGCCTGAACCTCTCCTTTGCTCTCATCTCCACATCCCTTGTATCACAGTATTTGGAGACAATTCCCCTACCTTTCAACCGGGCCATATGTTCTTTGAGATCAGGGTCTACATCACTAGCACAGGACCCTAAAGATAGCAGGTCTTTGGTGAAAGTTCAATGTTTTTACATAATAGTTGATACTGACATAGTGTGCTTAAAGGTTTACAATGCGCTTTATAAATATTACTAATTTGATTTTTAATAGTCATTCTATGAGAAAGTACTACAGGCATCCCTACTTATAGCTGATGAAATGAAGGCTCGAAGAAAATTAGAGTGCCCGTGTTCATACACCTACTAAGTGCCAGGGGCAGGATTCAAACCCAAGTTTTTCCTTACTTCAAATCTGACCATCTTTTCATTATACCAACTGAACTGAAAAGACAACTTAGAGGCTTGGGCTGCAACTACAGTCTTCACAAATGATTAAAAGAAAAGGCGCGGAGCAATCCATAGGCAAATAGGAATCTAGTTAACTAAAAACTTAATGGCTTAATGTACACTGAATAGTTAGAGTCAGATCCCGTGGATTAGAAAAGCCCATGGGTGAAGGATCATTTGGAAGTAGTTTGGGAAGTCTAAAGTGGTGATCAGTGTCCAGCCTCCCTCACTACCAACATCCTCTGATACCTTCCTGATCCCTTAAAGCCTATCTGCTCAGTGCTAACTCTGATTTTGCCAACTCAGAGTTTCATCTCAGCTTCTTCTCCAACATGGCAACTACCAAGTTTGCAGCAACCTGGGATAAGACATGATACCTGCCTCTGAGGATGGACCTTCACCTGCACTTTCCCCATCTCTGAGGTTCAAAAGACCAGAAGAGACAGATATCTACGGTTCCTGAGACCAAGTCTAACACCCCAGAGGCTGAAACTGCAAAGAGCCTTCATCCGTTTCCACCTTCTCCAAAAGATCTTTCATTCCAAACCATAAGTGGGGGTAGAGGATATGGTTGTACTGAGACTCAAGATCTGGGTGAGGAAACTTACTTTATTTGAAACACTGAGGAAAATGACTCAGAGGCATTCCTACCCTTTTTGGGAACAGCTTGATGGGAGACACAGTGGAAGCAAAGACATGATAGGAGATACTGAAGGAGGAGGGAAATGGAGGATAGTCTAGTTTACATGGATAATACGAAGGGGGGGAGTATGATATAAGTATGACATAAGGCTGGAAGAGGTAGGGTACAGAGCCTTGAATTCCAAGACTGAGTTTATACGATAGGTCATCTTTAGACTTTGAAGTTCAGTGAATCTGAACACTCTAGAATTGGAATAAATCATTTTGCTGCTCTAAGGGATCTTCTAACTAGGACCCACCCTTGGTCTTCTATCCCCTGAGGAGTCCTAGCACATACTTCTCCTTGAGGGGCTCTCTATCTGTCTATGAGGCCAGGTTTTCTTGTTCTTGATTCTCAAAGCCCCAAAGGCAGGGTCATTGCATCTAGTTCCTGAACCATGACTGCCTTGAGAACAGCTAAGCAGTAGCTGATGTGTTTAATAAGGTAATCCTGGCTAGACAAAAATTTCAAACAGTTCCTCCTGACACATTTTCCAGCTGACACTGACATGACCTGATTTATGTATGTCCCCGTGCCCAAGTGGTCTTCCATCTCCCTGCCATAGATAATCAGTTGCAAGCAGATGTTAGTTGGATCACAGCATCACAGAATCCTAGGTTTAAGAGCTGGAAGGGACCATACAGACCATCAAGGCCAAACCCTTCCTTTTATAGTCAGTGACTCTGAAGCACAGGCAGGTTCAGTGGTTTGCCTGGGGTCCCATAGATACCAAATGTGTGAAGCAGGCTTTAAAGACAGGCTTCCTGACTGTGTGCAGCACCCTCTTCCCTATGGTACTGTGCTGAGCAACAGGGCCACTGTGCAGAAGCAGAAACCATGCAATCTTCTGGCACCATCTGGAAAACTGCCTGGCCTCAATCTGTGTCTCCCTTAGGCTACAGGTATCTCTGTCCTCCATCATGCTTGTCCCCTCCCTGGGGCAGCTCTTCTACCCATACCGTCTTCATTATATGCTGGGCCAAAACAGTTCAGCCTGGGGCTTCTGGCAGGACAAGACAGCTTAACTTTGACCTCCTTCCTTAAATAATCAGGCAGGAAAAGAAAGAGATAAGGGCAGGCAGGTAACCCCTATGATAACGCACCATTAAAATGCCTGAATTGTGGTTCTGGGCTTGAAATCTAAACCATTTACAACCATAGGACAGAACCAAGGTTTGCCAAGGAGGTGATCTTGGACACTGCAATGGATAGAGAGAAAGCAGAAAAGTGAGTGGGCTAGCGCCGGCCACTTACTTTTTCTTGTCTTTGTCCCTTCTCAGTGGTTGTTGTGAGGTGGCCTGTAAGGCTTGGGCCTGCATGGCCTCGACAGCTGCCTTCCTCCGATTGAAGGCAATTTTCTCCTCCTCCAATTGCTGTCGCTTTTCCTCCACCTTCCGCTTTTCTTCCTGGTGGGTTCTCTTTAAGGTCTCAAATCTCTCATGAAGCTAGAAGGGAAATCTGCTTATTGGAAGAAATGTCCTCCCCCAACGTCCTACCTGGTCCCTGAGATGGCCCTTATTCTCCCAGGTTGATTCTTTTGTGAGTCTTAACCCTTGTACCCAATTTCTAGGCCCCTATGGTGGGTTTCCAAGGGTGTAAGAATAAGACAGAAGTCTTTTTGGGCTACCCACCACCTCAACAGAGCATCCTCCCACACTCTCCCATCCCTCAGCCAACTGACACGCCCCACTCAGGGACCTCTGACTTGTCACTTACCTCCTTCTCCTTCTCCTTCAGCTCCAGCTCTGTCTCCTTCACCTTGTTCACAAACATCTGTCTCATCTCCTCTTCTTTCTTCTGCAGCTCACACAGGAACTCCTTCCTCCTAGTTTCATAGGTCTCCTGGAGGCTAAACAGGCCCAGGCATTGCCCAGGAAGAGGGGCCAAAGGGGAGGGTTACAGAATGATGGCAGATGAATGGAAGAGAGTTCTAACAGTGAAAGAAGGGTGGGCAGAGAATGATGGTTACCAGTGATATGGAGGGCTAGGTGGCTAGTAAGGAAGTAGGTAAAATGTGATTAGGTTTGAGGGGGTTGCAGAAACTCTTTTCTAAAGGTCCCACAACCTGAGACAAAGAAAGACAGACCCAGGAAGTCAGCCAAACTCGATAAAACCCACTCCTGTACTGAATGAAAATGATCAAACCCTCCCCCCGTTGACTGGAGTGATCCTGGTCCACGTTCCTTGAAAAACAGGGGCCTACTAAGAGGGTTTTGTTCTACCAGGGGAAAAGGTTCTTGTGTGGGACAAGCCAGGTATCACCTAATAGGCTTGCTCTCTGCCGCTGTGTCCTGGAAGCCCATCTCTTCAAGCTTATGGCGCCGGTACAGTTCATAGTGCCTGCTGTGTGTCTGTTCTCGAGATCCTCCATGTTCACACGGATCAGCATCTCTCGAAGTTTCACAAAGTCACAGTGACTCTCATTCTCCACTGAGGGCATGGGACAGACACAGGCACTCAAAGGGGACAAATGGACAGGCACTCAGGGATTACAGAGCAGACAGATGGGGTACCTGCTGGGTGATCACAGGGCAAACAAATGGGGCATGGATTGGGTTAGAGCCCTGTGATGGTACACTCAGTGAGGAAGAAGCTAAAGTTCATAGACTCACAGAACCTCGGAACTGAAGAGCTCCTTAAAGATTACATAGTCTACTTCCTCCTGTTTTACAGATGAGGAATCTGGGGCCAAGGGTGACACAATTCATACAAAAGCATGCTAGGGCAGCTAGGCTAGCACTCAAACTCCCATCCCCTGACTCGAACTTCAGTGTCGTTATTTTTGACACCACACTGCTTCATTTCCCTTCTACACTGTTGTTCAGGATCTAAGTGGACACAAATTAAACTTGTCCACTACAACTAGATTTTTTCATGTTATTCCTAACTCTGTGAAACCCGTGGCTACCCAGTTTAAGAGTATCCCACCAAGATCTAAAGAAAAGCATAGTTTGGGTTTGAACAAAGAATCCATTTTGCAATATGATCATCTTATCTGATAAGTTTTATGTTTTTCTCCTTAAATAACTTCTCCTCTCCCTTTCTCTTTCCTAGTCCAAAATGTCTAGTACTAGTCTAAACTTGAAGTAGAGATAGGTTTCTCTGTCACAAACACACACACAAATATGCAATATTTCAAATATTAGAGTGCCTGCTGCTTTTCCAGCCACAAAAATAAAAGTCTTTCAAGTATAAATAGTAGGTCTTTTTACACATCATTAAAAACAGTTGATACATATATATACATACATGTATATATATATATATACATACATATATATATATACATGTATGTATATATATGTGTATATATATGTATATATATATGTATATATATATATATATATACATATACACACACAGAAAAACTTTTACAATTCTACATGAATATACATGCACCTTACTTTGCAAAATCGATGTGCTCCTGAAAAGATGTGAGTAAATTGATTTCTTCTAACTGAAATTCTAAACTGAACCCTCCTCCCACACACACATTCCTCGCAGGAGGAGGGAGAAGGGTTCCTGAGGTTTGCCGCCCTCACTCACCCTGCACGACACCCCAGGGGTACTGCCGAGCTCGAACCAGTTTGTTCCCAACTTTTACCTCATCAGTGCTGCCAACCACAGCAAAGGGCAGATGGGCCTGAAATAAGATATCAGGATTAAAAGAATTCAGAGCAGATAGATTCTCTGCCTCCCTCAAAAATCCTGCTTCCAGAATTACAAGGAAGATTACGGATGACATGAAATCCGGGCCTCTTAGCTTTGTGTCCTCCAGCTAAGCAACAAGAGGAGAAACCCCTAGGTTTCTCAGATATGAGTATCCGTCAGGATCCCTTAAGCCCAGATGTTCTAGGCCTCAGTGTCTCTCCTTGAAGCCAGAGACAATAAAAACCACATCCTGGGAAGGCTCAGGACCCCCTTGACCCCCTAAGTCCTTATGTATGCCTCCGTGTCCTGTGACCACGACTTTGGCCTTGCCCGAAGGACCAAAAGTTTAGCAGTTACAAAATCTGCTAGGTATCCCACCCCTGCCCCTGCAGCAGTCCCTGGATCTAGGAATCACAGGGTCCCACTCACATTCATGACAGCATTGATCTCTGCCACCGCTTCATCATCTGTAGGGAACTGGTAGATATGGACCCCGTTTTTTTCCAGCTCACTCATGATCTTGTTCTTGAACTTGTGCAGTTCACTCTTTGAAATGGTATCAGCTTTGGCAATGATAGGGATAATATTCACCTGGCAGGGAGAGGCAAGTAATAGTGATTCGGGGGTTTAGAGGAGAGCTCTGGGAAGGGCAGCAAAAAGAGCCACTCTCTACAGGTTCCTCTGAACATTCTCGGGTCAGCTGTAACACCATAATTAGGCAGGGCACAGTTGCTGAACAGCTTGGCTCCAGAAATAGGGGGATGCAATGACAAAAACATATCAGATCCCCCCAGCGGCAAAAGAAGTAACTGCCACGACTGACAGAAATTGTTCTTCTGAGAAATTAACCACCTCTATACTAAATTTGGGTCCAGGCAGGATTTTTTTTTTTAGCTAAGAGGGTAAGATAGCCTTGCAGAATTCCCATGTTCTAAAGGGAATCCCTCCCCAATTGCCCAAGCAGCTCTACCTTCATAAAAATCCAGTATCTCATAGAGTAAGCAGCATGGGCAAGGGAACAGAGTTGAAAGAGAAGTAGACCTGGGGCCAGAGGCCCCAAGTTTGAATCTTTGCTCTGATACTTGTTACCTGCATGACTTTGAAGTCATTTAACTGCTCTGGGACTCAGATTTCTCATCCTTAGGATGAGGAGACTGATCTATATCAGTGCTTCTTAATTAAACCCCATATGGGGTCACAATCCATAGTTTAAGAAGTGCTGAAGGGGTTTCGAGTGGAAAAAGTTTAAGAAGCCTGGTCTAGGATCACCCCTGAAGGTCCGCTGAGCTCTAACTTGGTGATCTGACAATACTACTTGTCATATAAGTAAATGGTGAAAAAAACCTTCCTTCGCCCAGGGCAAAGTGGAAAATGAGAAGGCTGCACTCCTGATCTTTCACTCTGAGGACTGACATGCACCCTGTTTGGAACAACCCTCCCCAGATATTTTTTTATGTTCATATGTGTGTGTGTGTATGTATGTATGTGTATATGTGTGCATGTGTGTACATGTACATGTGTGTGCATGTGTACATATATATTCTTACTATGGTCAAGGACTCTCCTGGTCCTAGTTTTTACACACACACACACACACACACACACACACACACACACACACACACACACACACACACACACAGAGGGATCCTTATTTATGTTCTTTCTCTACCTATTAATATATCTTGTTTTCAGTGGGGTTGAGGATAAACTGAGAGATAGTCATGAATGGATAGAAGAAGGAGAGAGAGAGAAAGAAGAGAGCTGAGAAAAAGGCAGTAAGCAAAGGAGGGACTATGACAGATTTGGGGGTTGGAGGGGAGAAAATGAGGAGCTTTCTGAGAGAAGTTGTTTCAGACACACAGAAAATAAAAGAAAAGAGCCAGGGAGGGAAAGAGGGAAGCCAGGAAAAGGGAGAAGAAGGTGGTAGGATCAGCTAAGCATGGAGTACAGAAGCAGAGAATGGATGGATTGAGAAGCAGCATCAGCTGAGAATACTTATTAGAAATGGAACTGACTTGGGGAAGGGTCAGTGGAGAAAGAGACAAAAGGGTCATTCAGTAGCAGAAATTGGAAATAGGGAAGATGATGAATAGTGGAGAGCACTGTGTGAGGAGCTCAAAAACAGGGCTGAGGAAGACGTTGAGAAGGTCCTCTCCCTAAGCCTCGGAGGAAATCCGCCCAATGATGATGGCAGGTCCTACAGCTCTGGGAGGACACACGCCTGTAATCAGACTCCCGGCACCAGATCCGATGGGCATGATCGGCTGCATCCTCAGCTAACAGGACCTTTGGTTCCCTGCCTGGGGTGCGGGCACTGCAGAGTGGGGATGGGGGAGGGGTGCTTCCCACCTTGCTGTCCAGCTTCTTCATGGTCACCAGGTCCAGGGACTTGAGGGAATGTCCAGTAGGGGTAATGAAATAGAGACAGACATGGATCCTCGTGTCATGATAGTCAAATAGGGAGCGCTGAATCTTTAGCTCCTCCTGCAAGTAGTTTTCAAACTGCATATCGATGTAGTCAACTATAGGCCTGTAACTACAGACAAACTCCATCAGGCCTAGGGATGGACAGACAAATAGGCCAGGCCAAATCCTGGTGAAAGGCCCAGGAAACACAGCTACCTATCACTCACTTAGTAGAACTAGGTCTTTGCTTTAAAACCCTTGGGGCACATTCCTCCAGCAGCAATGGGACCCAAAGATGTTCTGACCTAGCTCTAAGATGGAAGCCAAAGAGTTCGGGACCCCTATTTGCTCTGCCACCCCAAAAGGTAACCTCCTCAAGCCTTAGCTCAGGGCTCAACTTGACTTACAGAGAAAGGAAGTGAACCATTGGACTTTGCCATCACACAGGCCCAGACTCGAGTTGTGCCACAGGAAGTGAAGGGGCCTGGTTTGGCTAGGGCTGCTCTGCAGGCTAGGTCCGGTTCAGGTCTATAACCAATGACAGAAAAAGTCTCTCCCAAGTATAAGAGGCCAGTCACTTGGATACTCACAACTACAATCTCTTCAGGAAATGCTGAAGGCTGATTCAGATCAGACACCACTTCCTTGGATCACTGGATTTTAGGATTATAGATTTAGAGCTGGAAAGACCTCAGAAGCTAGCTAGACTACCACTTCATTCTACACGTGGGGAAACTGAGGCCCCACATGCGTCAGTGTCACACAGGTAGAAAGGGACATAGCTTGGATTTTGGTCCTGTGCCTTTAAATCCAGCATTTTTTCACCTCACCAGGATGCTGCCTCTTAGGCTCAGTTTCTCCATGTGCAAAATTAAGAGTTTGGATTAGACGAGCCTGAAGACCTGTTTCTAATGCTAAAATTCTACGAATCTCTAAATCGAAGTTCCTCTCAGCTCCTCACGTGAAGCAAACTTCTGTCATTTCACTGAGCTCAGGACAAATGTCATGGGACTGACAACCCAGGGTACAGGCCACATGAAACAGGTAGTTTTCCCAAGATGGATTTCATAGGTCGAATCCCAATGGATAGTCTACATGGGATGGACTATAAAGGATAATTCCCTATGGAAAAGTCCTCTAGGATGTTAAGACAGGCCATACTGAACTAACCCTAGTCATGCTGAAAGTTTGGTTCCTTGATATCTGACAAAAAGGACAGAAATAGGTAATTCATTGTGAGTAGAATATGGTCAAAGAGGCTTTTCCAAATTGTCATCATCCTACTTTGTATGGAAAAAAAAAACCATGGTCTCTGAGCTGGTAAAATTGATATCAACTCCTAGAAGGCAGAATCATGGAAGCTATTTCCTTCAATGATACCGCATTTTCAAGAAGACAAAAACTGAATTTTTATGGTTCCATCATATACCATCTTGACATACTGAATTTTCAAAATTTTCTATCTACCTAGGGATTAGCTGTCCTAGACCCAAATCCATGGGACCATAGTCAGGGGCCCTGTGTGCATCTACAGCAGAGGACTCCTGTAACTCATCTAACCAGTTAAGGGAATGACAGCAGAGGAGGAGCCCCGACAGCTGGGTAGTCAAAGCTTGACCATGGTAGACACTGTTTATTAAAATAACAAGTGATGAGAAGGGGATGGGGCAGAATTCAAACATCACACCACTTGCCTCTCATCCTTATTAATCTGGTCTCCAAAACCAACTGCATCCACAATGGTCAATTTGAGGTGCACATTGCTCTCCTGGAGGTCATAAGTACGTGGTCGGAGGCGTACACAGGTCTCATAGTGTCCAGACTCTTCTGTCTCAAAGATTGTGTTGAAGAGCGTGTTCATTAACGTAGACTTTCCAATGCCTGTCTCCCCTGCGGAAGCACAGAATGCTGTCAGTGGAATGAAGGGGTTTTTGCTCTCCTCCTAACTTCTTTATTTTATTTTATTTTATTTCTTAATTTTTAATTATTTGTTTGCTTATTTGTTTGTTTGTTTGCTTGTTTGTTTATTTATTTATTTAGCTTTTTGGTGAGGCAATTGGGGTTAAGTGACTTGCCCAGGGTCACACAGCTAATAAGTGTCTGAGGCTGGATTTGAATTCAGGTCCTCCTGACTCCAAGGCCAGAGCTCTATCCACTGCACCACCTAGCTGCCCCCTCTCCTCCTAACTTCTAAAGCAGATTTTGGAGTTTGGGAAGGTATCACCCAGCCTCTTGAAGTCTGGTAGCTTTTTGTCTAGGGGTTCAGGGGACTCTGGTTAAAGCACAGGTCAGGGCAGATCAGGACAGAAGCTGACTTGTGGCAGAAGCCACAAGCTCAGCAAAGAATCAGCCTCCCCACTCACTGCTCCCACATGGAGTAACTTCCCCTTTAAGCTTCAGTAAACTTAGGAATATAAATTTTTCAAAAGTAAAAAGCTGGGGCAGCTAGGTGGCACAGTGGATAGAGCACCAGCCCTGGGAGTCAGGAGGGTCTGAGTTCAAATCCAATCTCAGACCAGACACTTGACACCTTACTAGCTGTGTGACCCTAGGCAAGTCACTTAGCCCCAACTGCCTCAAAAAATAAATACATACATACATACATACATACATACATACATACATAGCTAAGAAGACTCAAGCTATGTGACATCTGTGATGTAATGTCCAGTATGTGAAACACTTACATGATGCTTATGCACATGTATTTATCTGTATCACATCACTGAGTATCTCCTCCACAGACCATACAGCCGGGAATGAACAAAGCAATCAATGCCTAGAGACAAGGAGGGAGGCACCTCAACTGGGCTAAGTCTCTGAGTCCACGCTGGTTTCTAGCCTTCTTCCCCACAGCTCAGGGGCTTGTGTATTTATTCCTAAAGATGACGGGAAGCCATGTTGGATGCTTATCTCCTCTAGCTCTGCTGAACTGTACCAGAGCCATGCTCTTCTCCCCCAAAAGCAGACGATGCCCAGTTTGGGAGACTGAACTATCCCCTAGGGCCTCTGGATAATGCCCCTCACACTCCCCATCTTCACAATGTGACAGCACAACCCCAACTACGTGTATCTATGTCCCCATATACAGACAGAACTACTCAGACACTGATGGGGTTATGTTATGAAGCAGAGAGGTCCCTCCAGAAGACATTTGTCCCATGTCACCATTTTCAAGCCTCTAGTTTCTCTAGGTTTTCTGAAGCTTCCTTGAAGAATGCTCTGTCCTCCATATGTTGAATCTAAAAGTTTCTCCCTGATACCTAAGCCCTTCTTTTCTTGGTCTGTCTTCCATGGTCACCTGTACAATAATCTTATAATACTAAGAGATACCAAACCACCTCTCCTAACCTCCCCTTAGCCTTCTCTTCTCCAGACCAAGGATCATAACTCCCCTCCAGACTCTCTCTCATGTCAGACTACCCTAACATCCAGGTTTATTCTTTTGGTCATTTTTTACTATACCCTAACTCTGGCCTTCATGTGAACCTGAATTCTGAACCCAGCACTACTCTCCAAATTCCTTTCCTTTTGTGACAGTCATACTAGATGGTCCCAGAGGTAACCAGACCTGCATCTTCAGTATCCCTAGAGTAATTTCCTCTAACTATGGTTCAAAGACAATTCCCTTGCCAGGTTTTCTCAGAGACTTACCCACACAGAGGATGTTGAAGCTGAAGCCCTGAGATATGGACTTACTGACCAGCTGGTCTGGGAGACTGTCAAAGCCCACATGGCCCCCCAGAGTGAGAAGGCGCATTTCTTCCTTCTGCCAAAAGAGAGAGAAGTCAGGGCTAGGAACTACTGGAAGACAGGAAAAGAAAGAGTGACAAGTGAACAAAGACAAGGAAAAATCACAGTAAAATCTGCTTCCCAAAGGACTACAACCCTACCCCTGCCTGCACATTCGAGGTTCTTGCATTGAGATCCCCTTCTAGATCCAGAAGCCCAGAGGTCACTGTTTTGGACAGAACAAGAACCAGAAGCTACATTCTGTCCCATGGGGAGAAAGAACAAAGCACTTTAAAAATACTATACAGCATACAAGAAAAAGGAGAAAGGAGCTGAGGCCAGGGAAATGCCTTTAGTTGTTTATTTATTTATTTATTGTTTGTTTGTTTAAGATTCCTTAACTTAAATGAGCTGAACTCCAATTTGGATGGAAGTTTTCTCTCACGGCTCCTGGGAATGGAAAAAAGAAAATAGAACCACCTAAGCGACTGTTCCCAGGCTCAAAAGGCCATGTTTTAGTGACTCTGTCAATGAAAGTGGCCCAAACCATTCCCCTGCCCAATGGAAATGTATTTCTTCCCTGGGAATCTGCATCCGAAACCATCATCTCTCCTGGTCTACACCCATCTAGTTCTCCCATCACTTTCCCCATCCTTAGAGATTAATTTATTGGGAAGGGTATTAACAATAGAAGAGGGATATCAGTGAAAATAACCCTACCCACACTTCCTCCAGCTCTAGGGAGGGAACAAACAGAGTAACTATTAATGGTTGTAACTAGAATGAAAATGTCCCCAGGAACTAGGGTTTCTAGGCAACAACATCAACCTTAGGATTTCAGAACAGGTTTTCTAGAGAGAAAAGAAATAAGAGTATGCTTAGCAGAAGAAAGGAGCAAATCTATAATACTGGTAGGGGTATGGTAGAGGGACAAAGAGACTGTATGGCATCTGAACTTCACAGCATGATATCCTCAGGCTTAGTTTTGTTGTTGCTCGCTTGTTTCTGTTGTGTTCAACTCTTCGTGACCCCATTTGGGGTTTTCTTGGCAAAGATGCTGTAATGGTTTGCCATTTCCGTCTCCAAGTCTTAGTGTCATACAGTCAAAAGAAAAAAAAACCAAGAAAAAGGAGGAAAAAAAAGGCCTTCACCCTGCTGCCTCTGTTAGTTACAATTCTATTTTTCTCCTATCTCTCATGCTAAATGTCTCTTGGACTCCACCACATTCTCCACTTTTAAATTTCCCATTCTGTCCTCAATGCTCTGCAGTCTGGCTTCAGCCTTCCCTCATTTTCCCGAAAGCATTCGCCCAAAGGTCACCAATGACTTCCTAATGGCTAAGTTCTTAGCCTTCCTTGATCCTTTTGTATTATGTGGCACTATGGTCCTCCTCCCTTCCCAATCACTGAGGCTTCCTTCTCTATCTCCTTTGTTAACTCCTCCTCTTCCTCCTCCAAATCCAAAAATATAAATTCCTTAGCTCACCTGACCTCTTCTCTCTCTCTGTACTCTCTTTCTCAAAAAGCTCAACCATCCACATGGCCTGAACTCCTGTGCTTTTTGACTCCTGATCACCATCATTTCAAACAGCATGTCTAAGACAAATTCCAACACTTTACAGCAAAAAATGGTCCTCTTGTCAACATGCCTGTTAATGGCGTCACCATTCTCACATGCATCTCTTCCTTTCCATCTCCAAAGCCACCATGTAATCTAGACCCTCACAACACACACCTGTGTTACCACAATGGCCTCCTACCTATCCTCTCTGCCTCTAGAATCACCTTGCCCCCATTTCCACCAGTATTAAAACCAATTTTCCAAATAAACAAGTCAAATCACAAAATTTCCTCCTTGAAAAATCTTCAGTGGCTCACAATGAGGACTGAATCTGTAGCTTTTTTTCTTTTAAATGGAGAAGCTAAAAATGCCCAGGATTAAAGACGTGTTATGTTTGCACAGATGGCTGCTGTGTTTGTTCATCTTCCTCCTTCCAAGGGTGACACAATTGGGACATGATCTAATGTCCTGTAGCTCAGCCAAAAACCAAGAAGCCAGCTGTACTGAGAACCTTCCCCACCCCTCTCTGCATCCCTCACCAATCCTCCCCTCCTCCAGCTCCCTTCACTACTCACCTCCCAACCACTGGCCGATGAATGAAAGATAGATGTTTTTGTCCCTGAGTCCTCACTCATAGACCCTGGGTTCAGCCATAGTCACAAAAAAGCAATCTCAGAGCCCCAAGATCCTACCCTTGACATGGTATCCCAATTCTACAAATGGCTTGGCCGGTACTAGACTTTACAGACAACACAGTAGTAACATGCTGGCCAGGGGCTGTTGAATCCAAATGGGGATTACCTAGATGCAGTGGATAGGAATGTGCTTGGAATCAGGAAGACTCATCTTCATAAGTTCAAATCCGGCCTCAGACACTTACTAGTTGTGTGACCCTAGTCAAGTCACTTAACCCTGTTTGCCTCAGTTTCCTCATCTGTAAAATAAGCTGGAAAAGGAAATGGAAAACCACTCCAGTACCCTTGCTAAGAAAACCCTAAATGGGGTCATAGAAAGTCAGATACAACTGAAATAATTAAACAACATAAAGAAGTGGTAACATTTAGTTACGCATACCTCAAGCAGGGCTAAGGACACAAGGAATGTTCAGTCCCGGTTTAGGGGCCATTCTATAGCTATAATTAAGAATACTCTATGGAGGGGCAGCTAAGTGGCGCAGTAGATAGAGCACCGGCCCTGAAGTCAGGAGGATCTGAGTTCAAATTCAGCCTCAGACCAAACACTTGACACTTACTAGCTGTGTGACCCTGGAAAAGTCACTTAACCCCAATTGCCTAAAAAAAAAATACTCTATGGTCAAGGGTCAGATCCTTAGCATCATTCTCTAATGTTTGGGCCAATCAGCCTTCACATAAGAAACAACCACCATATATCAATAGCCCTTGCGAAGTAACTCCTACCAGCTCTATATACACCAAAGGCTTTGCCAATGCAAGTTGGCTTCCCAGGGATTCTAGATACTCTTTGGAGTTGTTGCTGTGGACAAAATCAAAATTTCCCCGTTTCCTAGCCCCCACAACTGAACAAGTAGTACAGCTGCATTAGCAGAAGAGAGAAACAGTAATTATAACTCAGATGATGCAGCTTCTTCAACCCCCAACTCAAGCCCACCTGTTTCCCAGTATTCTTTGCTTCCTAAGACTATTTGGCTCCTTAAGTTCATCTAAGTCCTAATTACTGATTCTTTTATTTCTGCCACTATGCTGCATGTCCTCTTCTGATAGCTACTTTTTCTGTTCTTCATATCCCTGACTGCACACTGAAGTCTGACCATAAGAACAGGGTTTTCCAGGATTTATTTTTAAGGCCCAAATCCCTGCCACTAGCTACCTGTATGACCTTTGACAAATCACTCAAACCTTTTTGGGCATTAGTCTCCTCATCTGTAAAACAAAGGGGTTGGACTGGTTTCAAAAGTTCCTTCCCAGCATTCTAAATCTATAATCTCATTATGAACTATAAACATGCAAATTTAGAAATAATACACACAGGACAGTTAATCAGAAGTGTATGTAAAATTACCCAGTCCCAGGAACATAGTGCCAAAGCTTCCCAACATAATCTTGAACTGAGTTACTAGGTCTAGTTTGGGTCATTACCCTCCCCAAGCCTACAGCTTTCAACAGCTGACTGGCAACCTCATCATCCCACAGCACTTCTCCTCAAACCTGGTATTGCTCAACTGGGTATTTTTGATCAAGCTTTCTACCCATTTTACAACAGCTGGCTCATTCTCAGCCAATAAGAAAACATCCTGATTGCATAGTAGGTTTTCGATGGCTCAGCTATTTCCCCAAATATTAGACTGTAAGCTCCTTGTGGGCAAAAACTCTTTTGCTTCTTTTTGTATCCCCAGCACTTAGCATGGCGCCTGGCACATAGTAAGAGCTTAATAAATGTTTAGTGACTGATCCATCGACTGATCTACATATTTCCCCTTCCTCCGCTTAAAGTAGGGAAAAGGATAGAAAGAATCACTAAATTTGATTAAAGTTCATACCTCAAATTAGACCTTACAAAGTAAACAGAAACTATCTTTCCTAGCACTGTCTTCGAGAGGCTGTGTAGTTAGAGATGCATCAGTTATACAGAACGTGTACTCAACCTCCTGGCCAGAGTTCACAACTCTCTGATTATCCCAAAGGCTGGCCAGACCCACTGAAGTGCCCTGGTTCCCTATCAGGCCTCTCCTCCTCCAATGAGATACATTATCTTATCATCTAAGTAGCATCTTTGATTCAGGAAAACCCCACTTAGTAGCAATCTCTTCTTCTAGAAATCCCTTTGAATATTCTTTTTATTTACTTAGTTGTGTCCATGTTATATCTTAACTCACTTGCCTGCCAGAGTCAAGTGTAGATTCTTTGAGGACAAGGACTATTTTATTGTTTGCCTTTGTATCACCATGCCTAGCACTGAGCAGATACTGAATAGATGTTTGTTGAGTCAGCTGAAGAGCAAAAAAAGAAGTAGCAATCACAGTCAGGATCTGTCGGACATTTTTTGCCTAACAGATGTGGCTTTGCTAGCCCGACACACAAGTTAAAAGGAAAATGAGGGCTAGAGAGATTCAATAGCTAGCACAGCAACTCAACAGCAAATTCAAAAATAAACCCCAAGTTTCCAACTGTTTCTTTTAGCCCCTATGCTTCCAGAGTCCAGAGGTTCTCTCAGACCCTGGATAGCCTTATTCCCTTTCCAAACACTATTCCCTAGCTGTGGTCCTGCTAGTCATTCCACCCAGCGCTGAGCTCAGTTAGGAGAGCCTCCAGCCAGCAAACTTACAGACTGAAACGGAACTCTCCCTGGGCTCTGGGAAGAACTCCAAGTGTTTTCCCAGACTGCCTGGACTCTAATCCAAATTTCCCAAGCCAGGCTAGGTCATTAGAGAAATTAATTCTGGAGTTATCCAACCCAGGTTGGAGCCACCCTGAGAGCACATGGGCCACTGGACATCTA